AAATTTTGTGACCTTGAATGGAAATGATATTTCAATTTTTGAAGTAAACGTGCATCGAAATTTTGAAAATTTGTAAATCTTGTCTAAAAATATTTGTATTATAATATTTTTTAATAACAATGATACGAATGACATTTTTAAACATGTTTTATAAGTTCTTTAAATACACCTGTGCGTTCAAATTCCGAAAATTTTTAAATCTTGACTGAAAATGATATTTCAATTTTTTAAATGCACGTGTGCAGTAAAATTAAAAAATTAGATACATTTTACATTTTCTAATAACAACGACAAGAATAACATATTTTAAGACGTAATTTAGGAAACTTTTAAAAACAAATGTATATCAAAATTCTAAAAAGATTTATACCTTGACTAAAAATTGTATCTTTGCATGATAATAACACAAACGAATTTTAAGACATATTTTACGGATATATATCCATAAATAAATCTAAAAAGAGAATAACTTATATACAGGAAGATTCCGCAAAAGTGTTCACAAGTTGAAAAAATATTTTCATTCTGCGAATCCGAAAGCGTGTGTTTTAATCGATAATCGGGCCACTCGCTTTATGGATCATTACGATTATTTGCTATAGTCGGTGCATTCTGTTTCGAAGGTTATGTAAAATTCATAAGACAATATTCGACGAAACTGAAACAAAAACAATAAATTTTATCGAACTTATAAATCCAGAAATTATTTTTCCCCATTTGATACGAATTTTAAAAACAGATTTTAAGAAACGTAACCTAACCTAACTTAACCTAAACCAAATAAAATTTTCACGTTACTCGTACAATAGATATTTTAGACGCATTCATTGCGATTGAAATATGATTAATATTATAGAAACAAATTAATATTAATTAATATTAATATTATAGAAATATAATTAATTAATAAATATTATGATACGTCTTTATTTAACGACGTTATTTAAATATGTGCGACGATTAATATCTTTTACTGTTGTTGCAAGCGTCCGTTTCAGGAATGTTAATAGAACGTAAAATAATTATTTCCTATAATCGGTACATTCTGTTTCGAAGGTTATGTAAAATTCATAAGACAATATTCGACGACACTGAAACAGAAACAATAAATTTTATCGAACTTATAAATCCAGAAGTTATTCTTCCCCATTTGATACGAATTTTAAAAACCTAACCTAACCTAACCTAAACCAAATAAAATTTTCACGTTGCTTGTGTAATCGGTGTTTTAGACGCATTTATCGCGATAGAAATATATTAATATTAATTAATATTAGCATTATTATTAATATTGTAGAAATATATTTAATTAATAAATATTATGATACGTCTTTATTTAACGACGTTATTTAAAAATGTGCGACGATTAAATTCTTTTACTGTTGTTGCAAGCGTCCGTTTCAGAAATGTTAATAGAACGTAAAATAAGGCATAATAAAAGTTGTTTCAGGCATAATAACGAGGAAACGGTTTAGCCTGTACAAAGCGTATAAGGAAGCCAGAGAATCCAGGAAGTAATGACTAATACAGTTACAGTAAAGTTAATCAAACCTACCGTTAAAGGAATGTAACTTGGATATCCTACGACACTCTACGCTGGTAATAACTATATCACCGTCATACTCATACCGCATGAGCTAAAAATATCGTAAAACGATAACAACAAAAAATTATTCTGAAAATATATAAAAATCGATATTCCAGTCCAAAAAATTCCCGGGCACTACCATCTAAAAAAACAGTAAAAAAAAAATATATATATATAGGGTGTCCCAAAAATCACGTATTAAGTAATTTTGCTAGAAAACCCAGGTTTTTAATTAAAAATTGTAATTTTAACGTGTTGTTTTTTCATATGGCGCTCCATTCTTAATAACTCTGAACTGTCAGCTGTCACGCAGTCTTCTTTCTTTCCTTGGCAACGCTTTACCACGCGAATGGCGCAAAATTCAAATCTTGCGTGAATTCTGGACACTCTGTATATCCAGAATTAACTACGATAATGATGTTAGTAGCATTGCGCAAAACAGTATATTATTAAAGGAAAAAAATTAAAAGGTCCGTGTGAACAGTCGGAGCAAAACTAAAATCAATATTCCTCGTTAAGTTGGTAAATAATGCATCGAGTTTGTCGTTTGTATTAACACAAGTTACGCGAGCGACCATTGCCAAAAACAATATAGCTAACAGTCTTGACAACGCCGCATACGAAATGAACGTAGCGGCGAAATAAAACAGACAGACAGCACTGCCCTCTATATTCGTTGCGCTTCGATGGTCCCGAAAAAATGCAATCTTCTGGTATGCGAAGTTGCGCACTGGACGAATGCGCGTAACACCAATGGAGGAACCGAGCGTGCGTATGGAAATCGCTAATTCAAATTACACCACGGTATCCTGCTTCCAGAATCTTCCACTGATTCCGAGTTTATAAATAATAAACTCGGTAATGCAGGTTAGTACCGAAACACTCGGCTAAAACGGTATTCATATGGCAAGGTCGATTCAGCTGATAAAACACCGAAATTTGTATAATTTTATTTTCATTCGATAAAACCAATTGGTATAGACTGCTGAGGTATTCTAGATTAAAACGAGTCCAAACACGGCTTCGATAAAATTACTCGAATCTGGATGAAGATTATCGAGTCAGTCCTTGAATCAGCTGACGTGGTTGTAAGTAACTGCCTTCCATTAAATTTGTTATTAAATTCCCATTAAATTATATCTGTCATCTGTTCCTAGAAAATAAAATTCTTTCCTTATGCGAACAGCGTTTGAAGAAGAATCGGCTTTCTTTTATTGACATTCTAAAGTCCGGGACATTAATGAGAATATTATACTTTGACTGTCTTTGACAATTAGTGGAGATAATGGAGTCGATATTAATGGGTATTAATGTACCGTTAATACTAATGATGCTAAGAGTAAATTAGTTTTCTTTGTTTTCTCGGTAATAACAATTTTTCCAAAATATATATATTATTTTTCATCATGAATGCATAATTAAAAAAAAAATTGATAATTTAATTCAAATTACAGATATATATATATAATGCATATAATATTATGTATCATAATTTATATTCGTGTCATATTATTTGACTATTAAATACACGAGGTATTTTTTTTCTAAAAAAATTTTATTCGAAACGAGAGAAGAAATCGTATTGGAAATTGCAACGCTTAAATCGTTGCAAATAAATTCGATGCAACGTGGGCTGTCATAAAGGTAACAGCAACTCCGCATCACGCTTGAAATTTCTTGGACGTTGAATAAAGCGATGCACTTGTTACGGAATTCAGTCGACTCTTTTTACGCTGACGATAAGAAGAAAGGAAAAATGATTAAGGCTAGCATCGTCCGACAGGTATAACGACGAATGTGGAGCCTCTGTTCTGCGCAGCAGGTTTGCATGTGTGCGTAGTGCGTGTGTCGTTTGAGGCACGCACCTGAGCGTGAAGCGAGGGACCAACGTTAATGCACCGACGTGGCTTCCACCTGCGCTAGACGAGTCGAAATATGCTTTTCCTCTACCGACTGAAATCCGCGCCACCTTCAGTTTCGCGCTCGGCAGCACGATTTCTCGACGTGGATTTTCGCCAAGAATCCTGACCGCGTAATATCGATGTATACCTCGCTCGAGGCGTTCTTAACGGTCCTCGTTAATCTCAAGAATCACTTAGATTAATTAGCATTAATCGAGAGCGAAAAGCGTAAAAACTGATTCTAACCTCTAATTTGTATTAGACGTTGGCCGGAGTGAGTGAAGACCTTTAAAAGCTTTCTCGAATGAAATTACGCATACGAAAGGTGATATAAAAGGAAAGTAACCTATAACACTTTGCAGGATAATTAATAACCGTAATCAAATTTTACGTTCGACAAAAGTGCATCGCCTTTGCGCGTCAGGGAAACAGTAAAGGGAAGTCGTTGAACAACGCAAGATATCACAATGAGATTGTAAGACGATCGATATCCTACTGGTCTGTTTTACGAATAGAATATTACACAGGTGCGTGGAAACGTTGATTTTTCCATTGTTAAATTCATTTCTCGTGCGTGGATAATTACGCGAACGATATTTCTATTTTTAGGTTAACAATACGACTTTCCGAATATAAATAGCGTCTTACATGTCACTTTACAATTACTTTGGACGTTAAGAGGTTACCTGGTCATTGCACCAAGATTATCGATCAGGCTCTAGTAATTCCGTATTTCCTTTCTTTACCTATGAACCATAAACGAGTGAATCAAAATGGTATTCGAGAGTTAAGAATTACAAAGCAACTTGAACACTGTTTGATGTCGGATGCGGAGACTTCAACACACCGAGCAAGATCAAGCGATCGTTATTCCACACGGTATACGTTTATTTCTATAGACAAAAATATTCGAAAACAAATTTATATAACCGCGCGTACGATGTTTATAAAAATTTTATTTTATAAAAACTTTAACAGGGAGAAATTAAGAAATAATAATTAATAAAGAAGAGAATAATTCAAAAATATAAAAAGAACTGGATAAAGAACTAAATGGACAGAAAAGCTGAAGGAAATATAGACTCTTTCCATGAAGCAGAACGACGTTTATTTTAATCTATCCTAGTATACACGGAGATATAACAGTACTTCAGGTAGACGATCAGGTGTGCGGAACGGTTTGGCAGGGCGGTCTCCCCACCTGTCACGAATTCAACGCTACTGAGTTCATCGTTTGCGTTGATCCACGTATAAATTTGAACAGCAACGTAGCATAGATTACCCGCCACGGGAATGATAAAAAATCAATACCGATCGAGATACTTTGTTTGTCAATGAATGTTTAAATAAGGATTGACGATTATATTTAATTTAATAAAATTAAAAGGATTGACGTTCGCATCGTGGACCATGAGTTATAAAGCGATCGCAGAGGACCACAGCGGTGAGCAGAGAGAAACACGGAGTAAGAACGACGCACGAATGGCGAACATGCCCGGGGCCTTACTCACCTGCCACGACGTATCGCGCCCGCATTGTCGTTGACCGGTCTAAAGATCTGCAATCGAACTCGAGGACACCCGCACTTACGGCGTCTCTTGTTGCACATTCACTCACGAGACATCCTCGGTCACCGCACTCGTCTCTGTTCTTTTTATTTTACGTTGAATCGGGAAAAACGCACGCTTTTGCTTTCCACGCACTATAGAGCGGCTCTGTTCGCTTCGCTCCTTCACGTAATACATCCACCCGCACCAACTATGACCGCCAAGAAACACACACCGAGCGAGACTGCGGCTCTTCTGGAGAACGGTCGGTTGCTATTGTGAAATCTCCCTCCACCGACTCCAAGCACCTTCCCTTCGGCACTAGCATGCTACGGCCCTGTGTCGTTACCAACGCCGGCTGGATCGCTTCTATGTCTATCTTTCTCTTGATCCTACTGCCAGGTGCGGATCAACAGATCTTGGCTTAAACATTTTGAATGTTTCTAAACTGAAATTCGTCGCTTAGATACTGATATTTTTCTATATTGTAACTTTACAAACTTTACAAAAGTTTTAAATATGGAAATTGATCTGCTTGCAAACATCTCTTAAGTAAAAATGATTAATACAGATTTTCGTTTTTTTATAAAGTAATTTAAAATCGGTTTACATTGTTTATAAATTCTGTTATAAATTGAAGTGCACTATATAAGATGTTCTTATAAAATTGACATGTTCTAATAAATTAAAAGAACGTATTAAAAAAATAATAATATCAATGTTATTATTCATCCTGAAATAATTCAAATATCAATTTATATGAAGTAAAGTGCAAAATATAAATGTGTGCTATTCAAAATATGTTAATATTTAAGAACGTGATAATTAATGCGCAAGATATAAGTAAACTATATACATAGATGCTAATTATTTGATAATTATAGATGTTTTATGAGTAAAATGTAATAAAAAAATTCCTCTGCCGTGACAATGTCATATGTCAGGCAGACATTGCCGTGACCAGGATTCGAACCTTATTTTTCTATTAACTTTTATTATAAAAATAATATTGTAATCTTAAAATATTTTATATATTTTATGTGTACTAGATTATTTAATATGTTTATTAACTCGTTATACAAAATTGCTTAATAATATTAGACGTAATGAATAAATGATGATAGTAGTTAAAAAACTTTTTAAGATTATGTTGCCCTCTATAGTTGCCTACAGCTATTATATTTTACCGACTGACTTTCAAATTTTTATTCTTTTTTCTATGTTCTACATAATTTAAAGAAATTGTTAGAAATTCAATATAATTACAACGTCGCTATTTCAAATTTTGTTGTTTATGAATTTAACGTTGACAATTATATCATATCGCTTTATCATTATTAATAATATTCAAAAGATCAAATACTAAACAATTTAGGGAGAAATTGGTTTAATGTAACTTATAATATTTTTCATTAATTGGTATAATTGTTTGTTAAAATAATAGATATTGAACAAAATGTTTAATAATAAAATAAATCATATATGCGTACATTTATATAACAGTAATTATTTGTATCTGTGTTAATAAGAAGTAACCTGCTCGGTTGTTCATTTTTATGTCCCACCCTTCTAATTTCTTTACACTTCCGGTTCCAATGTTCCGGTTTCTCTTTGACAAGCCACTTTATTTATAGAGTTTGGCAGGTCAAACTATTCTGCGCGTAGGAAACAAAATTACTGTATTGCTATAGAAACAGAAAATACAAAAATTATATGGGATTTAAGTATAACAGAAAAGGAAAATTTACTAGTGTAATACGAAAGCGAGATTTCTCGCTTTTATTATCTAGTATTCGCGTCATGGTTGCTATGAAAATGTCAGTTCAGTGGTGATTCATTCGTTCATTAGCTGACTTTTCTTCCGTTTTTTAATATAACATTCTGCTTAACTGGCAGGTAAGTGTACATAGACGTTTTGATTGTTACCTGATTCGAAATAACAAATGACTCTCTGTCTTAGTATTTATTCGTATGTTGTATTTGTGTACATAGCAATGTAGTTAAAGAAGGTTAAATAGGTTAGGAAGGAGAATAAATATTCTTATTATTTCGTTTATATATTTGTGTGAATATATAATAAAAATTAAAAATGTTTTGAAGTGTTTTAAATTATACAGATTTATAATTAATCTTTATCTTCTATTTTTATTCAACTTTTATTGTTATGATGTTTATGATGATACACTAATAGGAAATCATTATTTATGAGTTTATCAACAAAATTTGTCTATCATCTAGTCAGTAATTAATGAATGAAAACAAATATTTTTGTTCGTATGTATTTTTTAAATTGATGCTATATAAAATAGTAATGTTTTAAAATTTACTTGGAATATAAACATTCTATAATTATATAATGTAGATTCTTTATATTCATTTCTATATTTTTAACAATAGTAACGTTATTTACACAATAAATGTTTTATATTTAGGATGATGGAAGAACCATTGAGTCAAGGTGCTTCTCCATCTGGTGACAGTAATTTTTCTGGAAGTGGAGAATTAAGTTCCACTACTATAATGAGTATAGATGAAAGAATGTTGGATATTAGTTCACGTCATTCTTTAAATGTTCTTCGAACACCACCAACTAAAAAAGCAAAAAGAGTGAGGTTTTTTAGAAATGGAGATAAGTTTTATACTGGCATTGTAATGGCTGTGACACCAGAAAGATATCGCAGTTTTGATAGTTTAGCTTCAGACTTAACAAGAGCTTTAATATCAAGTGTCACATTACCAAATGGTGTTAGAGCAATTTATACAATGGATGGAAAAAAAGTTCAAAGTATTAATGATTTGGAAGATGGTAAATGTTATGTAGTTTCTGGACAAGGAGAAATTTTCAAAAAAGTGGAATATTCGTCTACCAAAGTAAGAAGAGGCAGTTCTTTATCTGGATTACCACAATCTCCAGCAGGTACTGGTAGACAAATAAGCGCAATACCATTATGTGTGAAAGCAAAAATAATCACATTAATTCGACATGGTACAAAACCTCGTAAAGTTCTACGTCTTTTATTGAATAAAAGAAATGCTCCAAGCTTAGAACATGCAATGGAAGCAATTACAGAGGCAGTTAAATTAGATTCTGGAGCTGTGAGAAAAGTCTATACTCTCGCAGGACAACAAGTTACCTCTTTGGAACAATTTTTTGGAAGTGATGATATTTTTGTGGCTTATGGTTCTGAAAAATCAAATCAAGAAGATTTTATATTGGATTTTGAAGAATCTAAAAGTGTCGTAAGTTTTCGAAGATGTCCATGGACATCAAAAAGGCAAAGCGACCCAATGCCAAAAATGCCACGTAAATCTGGGAAGAAAGTGCTTAATACACCACAAGTGCGGACTCCAAGTCCTTCTTCGTTAATATTACCACAACCACTACGCTCACATTATGTAGTGGGACTTGTAATAGGGGAAGGTAACTTTGCAGTTGTTAGATATTGTTCTCATAAGTAAGTATTATAAGGAATCATATAGAACATTAATAATTAGAAATAATAAAAAATTTATAAGAAAGTATTCTTTAGATCTACTGGTGCAGATTATGCAATGAAAATTGTAGACAAATATAAATGTCAAGGTAAAGAAACAATGTGGGCAAGTGAAGTATCAATCCTTCGACAAGTTTCTCATCCAAATATTATTAATTTGATCGCAGAACAGGAGACAACCGATCAATTGTTTTTAGTCATGGAACTTGTAAAAGTATATATGTTTAGATACATTTTTATTCTAAATAACTGAATTTATAAATAAATAATAAAAGAATTTCGTAATTATATTATTTTGTACATTATTGCAGGGTGGTGATTTATTTGATGCTATTGCTGCAGCAACAAAATTTTCGGAAACTGAGGCTAGTGTAATGATTGGACATTTGACATCTGCATTGGCTTATTTGCATTCGCATAATATAGTACATCGTGATGTTAAACCTGAGAATCTTTTAGTTGAAATGGATGGAAATCATGTTAGATGTTTAAAATTATGTGACTTTGGACTTGCTCAAGTTGTAAGAGAACCTTTGTATACAGTTTGTGGTACACCCACATATGTAGCACCAGAAATTCTTGCAGAAACAGGATATGGTTTAAAAGTATATTAATTTTTTAATTGGATGTCTTCAATTTATTAATTTAATTTTGAAATATAAAGCATAAAATAAATTTATGCTGTTTCAGATTGATGTATGGGCGGTTGGTGTAATATTATATATCTTACTTTGTGGGTTTCCACCATTTGCTTCACCTAAAAATAAACAAGAGGAATTATTTGAACGTATATTAAGTGGCCAGTATGATTTCAGATCTCCCTTTTGGGATGATATTTCAGATTCTGCTAAACAGTTAATCTCAAATATGCTTCAAACACAACCTGAACTGAGATTCAGTGCAGAAGATGTACTTGATCATCCATGGCTAGCGGTAACTGTCATTATATATTAATTTTATAATAGTAAATTTATTTTGTTATCTTGCATGGCTTATCTTTTTTCATTTTTTTTTTTTTTTTAATTGGATATAATATGAGAAGATTCTATTAGTAGCAACAATAATGTATTATTCCTTTAAATATATAAATATTCAATTTTAATTATTTATTAGTTCCTATTAAGTTAGCTTATTAATTATCACTGCCACACAATAATATGCTCACCTACCATTTGGCTTTATTCTTGGTTACTTGAATACAATGCTAGGAAAGCTTCTGTAGTGATTTGCTGTATCTGTAGCAGTGCTTTTGTTTTTCTTTTGTCCCGCCTCTGTATATCAGCAGAGCTTTCTAGGCGAGCAGACCACAGCATCAACTCCTACCAACCCGCCGGAGCTACCCTCGTATCAGCGTGAGCCGATAAAGTTGGCAATTTTTGAATTTGACTTCTTCAAAAATCCAGATCAAGGTGATAGTTCTCAAGATGAAGCTGATGGTGCTTCTGATATCAGGACAAATGTTAGAAACAATCGAAGTGAAGTTTTATCATCAATAGAATCAAAAAGTATTGATTTATTTTATAACAAAATTCAGAAAAATTAAGTTATGATAAAACTGATTTTAATAATAGAAAGTTTAACAATAATGGACTCGTGTCACTTAGTGCAGATTGTTTACAAAACGTTTACAATTTCACTCAATCAATGAACAATCTTATAAACAATTTAAATAAAAACGAATTTATCATAGTTTAAAAATCATCGCATAGTGAAACTTGTTTGAGCAGTATATTTTCATGAAAATGTTAAGCATCAGTGCATATAAATAATTCAATATCACTAGATAGTTATTAAAATATTCTGATTATTTAAATTACATGTGGTGCAATGACAATTGGGTTCAGGGGGATATGTTTGCTTTTAATAGGAAATAAAAAAATTTTCTTGAAAGAATTAATAAGATTTCACATATTACAGTGAATGTATCATCATACTTAATTTAACTAATTTCATGACAATTGGACAGAAATACAAGTAGAGTTATTTTTATGAAAATTCAATGGTTTATGAAAATACTGCTCTAAAACTTTGAGAGCGATGATATGAAAACCTGATACACTTTATTAATTAGTGATTTAATTAGTAGTTTCAGTAACAATGAAACAGATAGATAGATTTGTAAGTTCTCAACACATACAATTGATACAAGATCCAAGATCAAGTTTTACACAAAATACAAAATTAGTTGAAAATATTTAAAATGTTATTTTCTACCATGATCAAGAACTAAAAAATGGTAGTGTATGTAATTCAAATAAGGATGGTTGTGGCAATGAAGTTTTATAGTTGAATCATATGAAAAGCTTTTTTACAAAGCAGCAGAAAAAGTCAACAATAGAAAGGTTATAAGTTTTAATACCATTAAAACTAAATACATTAGAAATCTTTAAATCAAACATTTCAAATGACATAAACAATTCACCAAGAAGCAGTACAATTTAAGAGTGAAAAGTGTATACAGGAAAATTATATAAATCCATGAATAACTCGAAGAAATAACAGGTTTAATTGGTTTTTACTGTATTTTACAGAAAAGAATTTGGAATCTATTGTAATAAATGTGAAAGTGATTTTTGTTAATATCAAAATTTTTGGGAAATTTAATTCTGTATATGAATTATAAGATGAGAAAGGAAAAGGAAGTATAAAATCAAAAAGATTCAGCTTACATTATACTTCACAACATTGAAAGACAATTGCAAAGTAAATAAAAAAAGCTAAGAAAAGTACATGATCGGCAAGAAAATGAGAAAGATCATCACATATAAATATAAGGTAGAAAAATAATATTACAGCATAGAATTCAATTACAAGAAAAATATGAAAAATTGAAGATCAGTTGTAGATAGTACAACAGCTGCCAGTAGAAGCAAATTGAGCAAGCAGTGTGTTCACATCAGATCTAAACATTGTAAATCCAATATTAATGGCCGATAGAAGAAAATGATCATAATTAGATATATTTATACGTTCAGAATGATTGATGCGGGATTAATCCGCCAAAGAGTCCAAAGTTCTAAGTAATAATTATTTTAACGTAAGTGGAAAGTCGATTTAACCAAGGACGTGATGTCATTTGTTCTTAGATTTTGAAGAGATTGATGCAAATCAATAATTCAGTTTAGAACAGGTGAGCTTCACACATAAACAAGACATGCCAAATGCATTTAAGTAGTTTATTTTGTATTTGATATCTATTATTGTATGTAGTTCAAGTATTGAATTAAACTAAATGTAGAAATTGCTTTGTTCTTATCAAGATGTAAGTAACTAGAGAGATATGATTGTAGAATGAGGCGAGAACTGTATTGAATAATGCAAAATTCCTTGTAACAAGTGACAGAGGGCGACAGTGGTGACAATTATGAATATTTGTGTAGCTTGTTGCATATGCTTGCTCAAAGGTAATTCAACTATCGCTAGAATAAATATTTTTATAAAATATTGTGCGTGGTATTATTAAGAGCAATAAAAGCAAAGGTGGTGATAATTAGACGAAGAAACCTTAGAAAACAATATTGGATATAAGAACAAGCAGAGAATTAATTCAATGCAAAATGCTTTTCATATGAAATTATTTTTCTAGAAATTATGTGCTGTAAATTTTATGTGCACCTTTCTCCCTTTGTCGCTTGAAGATACTTTAGTGGTTACCTTGCTACAATTTCCATATTTTTTAATGCAATCATTTCTATTTACTATAATGATGTACATATATAATAAGTAAGTTTATAAAATATTATTTAAGTATTACTATTGCTATTCATTTTCATAATTTGTAATTTACGCATAAAAAATTAATTTATCACGAGATTTCGTACTAGGGTCGATTCGTACATATACATAAATATTGTAATTTTTTATCGCGAGCACAATTAATTCGTAAATGATAAACGATATCACATAGGTCAGTGCTGTTCATGAGTGATACTTCTTACACAGCTTTATTCTTTTCAACATGCTATCAATGAGGAAATGAATCAGAAAAAATCAGCAGATTTGATATAACTCCTATTTATAACTCCTTTTCTTACAAATTCAATTTTTAAAACGAACAATAACTTTTTATTCTTAGAGTGAAATCTTTGTATCAGGCGTGTACATGTATTGCATCAATTATATTTGTTTCATGGTTAAAGATGTCAACAGAAGTGTCTCTAAGCGTTGTAGCTAAGCTTGAACAGCACTGGCATAGGTTATAGAAATTTAAAAGTGATTTATGCCAAATATGAAATTGATTATTTATATTATTATGTACATGCATATGTATTTACATACACGAGAAATTTCACATCGATATTTCTTATTATTTTCTTGATTCCTTTTTATTTTCTTTAGTATATACGTGTATACTTTCGACTTGGCTGTAAATTGTACTTTCTTTAGTTCTGTCAAAAAAATTAATTAAAAGACAAGTATGATAAAAATTGTTTACAAATTTTGATTCCTAATTACCTCAAAACCATTTTTTTGAACATATTCACAATTTTTACGATTGTTGAAAAATCATGAAATTTATTAATAAAACACAATACTAATATTTTGTTTAACGTTCATTACATTTTCAATGACCAATCGTATTTTTGATAAAAGTTTTCGATCGAATATATTTTTTATGAATATAGGTATCATATTATTTTCAATTTATTTTCATATAAATACCAGTATTTTTTAGTATAAATTTATGTGTAATTGAGTATATTAGCTTCTCATTTGATTTTTAGAAAACTAGGTAGAATTATTGTTAAATATTAGTTTAACCCGAGTATATTAAATGCGTAGATGATAGTACTATATTAGTGGCTTGATAATCTGAATAATATTAGTTTTTTGTTCAATTAAAGTTATCATTTAACAATGTATATAAAATTCTAATTTTAAATTTCGTTAGATGCAGTTGATCGATTTCTTAATCTAACAGATTTATTTCACTGTAATTTGACACTTGCAGTGACTCGATGAGTTACAAATTTAATACCTGAAAGAATTTTTGTAATGTCATAGGAAAAATAATTTCTCTTCTGATTTTTTTATCTCGTAAGGCAAAAGCAAAATATCTTAGACGAATATCATTATTCATTAAACTACGAGTTGCGAAATTAATCAAGTGGTGAATTTGCAAAAATCTCGTAACGATGATCGCAAAGTTATATCTGATGCTCGTAAGAGACGAGTCACTCCGAGCAGACGTGCCGGTACGCGACGCTGACAATCAGTATAGCGAGTTCAGTAGTAGGCTCGCGCGCCTGCCGTGAGGGTGGCTGCTCGGCACGCAGCCCTGCAGCTCGCCTTTTTCGTGCTTCCCTTCTGTTCCATAACTATCGTTTTGTCTTTTTCTTAACATAAACCGTCCTTTGCATTGCCATCACGTTTTCCAACGGACAAGTTTCTGTTAAACTCTTAACTAAACATATCGTAACAGGTGCGTGTGTGCGAACATGTGTGTACAGAAAGATTAATACATATCAATGATAGTTGATAATACAAAGTTCACTGTGTAGTGCAAATTAGTATAGATGCTGCTGTGATCAGGTGAGACCTATAAATGGTATAAATTTAATAACGTTTTGCGTGAAATTATTTTATTACTTGTTCTCGGGCGAAACTTTTCTTTTGTCATATTATGACAACCAATGACACGTAACGACTTAAAAATCGTATTATATACGTGAAAAAGAATTAAATAATTTTCGACAATAATACGTAACGAAGTAATAAATTTACGTTTATGGTCAAATGAAAATTAATAATAAATAATGTCTTTAATAGTTTGTTACAAAATTAGTGAATAGTTTCTTTATTACTTAATTACCTTACGATTCTTTATTTGACGTTTAACCTCAGTTTTAATATTCGATATTAATCTAGCGCTACCTTAGATCGATACCGATAGATGCCACCTTCAATTCATGTTCTTAGTGCCCTATGGTTACATATATTGCGTTGGGTGAATAATCGTTTATTTTACATGCAAATTTGAAGTCGGTTTAAACAGTCGATGTCATAAAAATATTGTCACGCTCCGATTAGCATGCAATATCGATTAACGTTAACGGATACAACATGAAATGTATCAGAATAAAGGTATATGTGCATTTTTATTTTTTGACAACGTTGCATTACAATTCTACATGCACATGTAAGTTATGAATTATTTATTCCGAAATAACGCGTCTTGCATTAATTCAGAATATTAAATGCATATTTATTCGATATTATTATATTTCACTTTTATACTATTTTACAAGAAATGTACTTCAAACGGACAGTAGATAAAACATTTTAATAATCCACTTATATAATTTGATTTAAAAAATTGTCAAATATATTGATATATATTTTTACTTAGTCGGTAATTCGCACAAAAAACACTCGTATTAAATAAAAATTTATAAAAATATCGCAAGTATCAAATTATTAAAAGTAAATTAATCGAATTTAAAATTTTCACATTTCGAATAAAAATTATTCGTTAGAAATTGTTTAAATATTAATACCTTTATAAAATTGTAGTAAGAAATGATATGAAATAATATTAAAATA